TATATAGTTTTATAAGCTCAAAAGGAGAGAAAAAATCTTTGGAACTGAGAGCCTAGGAAGAAAGAATGTATTTTGGATCACGACTGAGCAGCCTTTGTGGTGGTGCACATTAAAACATTGAAATGGTGCAACAACAATGGCTGCAGATGCCATTGCTGGCTGGCTCATCTGTAAAAGCCCACTTCTAAATACTTTTATCTTGGTTATAGATTGTTTAATTTTGCAAACAGGTTATTTCCACTTACAAGCTGTTAGCTGAATGTATGTTTCAAGTACTGTGGAGGTGTGAACTCCAGTTCTAGTTTTGTTTGGTTAGAAAAACCATTAAGACTTTTGGATGTTGTTTAGCCAAAAGCATTTGCATCCAGACTAAGGAAAAGGAAGAATTTCATTTGCTGCTATTGTGGTTGAAGTTACATGCCACAACAGAAGTAGTAGCAAAGATGGAGAAAATTGCAGCAAGTTTATGCCAGATCTAAGTAGATACAGAAATACTGTAGTAATTGTTCATAATTTTGCAACACTTTCCTGAAATAGGCTGTCCATTGTTCCACTGTGCAAAAAGACAGTGACAGAGCTATTGCATATTCTAATGACTGTTATCTCATGCTCTGCAGCCCCAGTGCATGCTAAATAGGATAGATAAGTGTTCGGCACAAGATGGGCATAACTTTCTGTTCTAGAGAGCAGAGAAGATTATTAGGGGAAGAAATATGTTGGATCTGGTTTTGACTAATATGGTGAAAGTAGTTATAAATGTAGAAGAGTGAAATGTATGAAAGCAATCACAAAACAGTTTCACTGTGTAAGGAAAGTAGTAGTGGCAAAGCATAGGTGAGGGACTTCAGAAAACTTCATTAAGTATCACAATACTTGCACATGGAACCTTGGGATAGTAAGTCGAGGAATAAAGAAGTGCAGGACGCCTGATGACTTCTGAAAGTCAGACATAACAGCAACATTTTCTGATGCAGTGGAAAGATGGAAAGTTTGGGAAGGAAACGATATGCAACTTTGAGATGGAAACATTAAGTTATTTAACATTAATTAGATCAAAGAAACGCAGCAAATATAAGGCATTTAGAAAATACATCCTCTGAAGAAAGGTTAAACAAGACTTATGCCTCTGGAGAAGGGGAGAAAAGAACAAGTTAATTTTCTGCTATGCAAAGGTTGTAAATTACAAGAAGATGATAGATGTTTCTCAATATTTACTACTAGGAATACAAAATAATTTGTCTTAATTTACAGGAGAGAAAATTTAAACTAGACAGTGAAAGCCTTTGCTATAATTAGGGCAAGGAAGCGATAGAAGAAAACTAATTAAACACAGTCCCCTAACAAAAACGTTGTAGAAGCTTTAAACTTCTCAACATTTCATTTGTGTTTTTTTTTAAAGGGTAAATAGACATGTATCAGTTCGGAAAAGACCAAAGCTGAGTTATAGATACACATGATGTTCCCTCGTGCATGGTGATAGAGGAGCAAAGTAGATTCTTCTCAACTCTGTATTTCTACCTATGCATTCAGGACAAAGAAGCACTAACTCAATCCAGTTTAATGTAACATGTAACAAAGATGTCACAGAACTTACCAGTGGTTCCAGCCTGCAATGGGCTGGCTGCTTTCATTTACTCTTGTGCTCCACTATGCTTGGTTGGAATGGGCCTTTAAACTGCTGCCGTGTTGACTTTACTAAGGAAATTATTCCATTTTTTATTGAAAAGTCAGTAAAGTAATATAGGTTAGTTTTCATAACACATGAAAATCAGCTTGAACAGCAGAAGGAAGAACAATTCATGAAGCAGACATAGCAACATAGGCCCATAAATAAAGTTTTGTGACGGGATATGTTTGGAAAGAGGGACTGTGAGCTAAACCCAGCAAAAGCATAAAGTGTTTTTCAAGTTCACTTTTTAACCTGGCTAGGAAGTTGAAAAAATGGTTTAAACAATCTGAAAAGCTTTCAGGACATGCATTCTTTTCAGAGCATGTGTTGGTTTTCCAATGCCAATAAAATTGTGTAGCCTGTAAAAAAAAAAAAAAAAATCCTTTCTGCATTTTTACCCTGTTTTTGTTTTTTTTCTCAGCTCACAATAGCAATAACAATTTCTCTGCAGGATCTTGGCCTATGACTTCCCTCCAGCCTTTTTTTAGCCTCTAGGAAATGCCTACAGCTAGTCATCATTAAATTTCTACAGCTAGTCATTATCAACTGGAGTGTCACCAAATAATAGCAATGCTTTTAATCTTTACAAAGGGTAATGAATTAAGACTTTGCAGTGTCCTTGAGAGGAGAGTAAAGCAATCCAAGGAGCTGTGACAAAACCTGGGCACTGCCTGTGTAAACACTGTTACTGCTGACAAGAGCAGAAAGAAACAAAAAGGCATAAATACTTTAGACGGCAGCTGCCAGAGCCTGGCCCTCTAGCAGTGAATGATTCATCTTTCATGAGCAACTCCTGCTCACCTCTACACCTTCAAACTGACCAGGCACAGGTTTTTAGCACTAAAATTCTACATGTTTGTTTGCTGCCTCATCTCTAGTTCATTTTATCCACAGTTACAGGGCTATGAACTTCTGACCATTTGTCAAAACACAGAATGAGAGAAGATGCCAACTAGCCCTGGGTATTAGTCGTGATTATCATCTGTAATTTTATGCTCCAGGTAGGGCGTAAAGGGAATGCTGCATCCTCCACACTGAGTTTAGTAATCCCAGTGGCACAAGTAGCTTCCACTGGGCTACAGCTCTTCTCACTAACATGACTGGAGAGCTGGTGCATAGGAAAATAGAGCTGATTCAGTGTCAGCTGTTCTCCCACACGTGCCCCAGCAGAGAAGCATTGGCACAGAGAGGCAAATAGGAGGGAAAGGATTAAGGGTTGGCACAGCTGTTTATTCTGTGGAGCAAGGGGAAACTTGACTTCTGCTTTGTCTTTCATTTTGGTTTTCAGGATAGTCCAGTTGTGCACTGCACCAAGTCTACGTTTGACAGGAGCACCCAGCAATGATAAGAACGCAACACTGGTATTTGCCACTGCCTGTAGTGATGGCATTCTAGGGGCTGACATTCACTCCAGTGTAGCAGCACTTGTTTAGATGTGAGCTTAATTAAATCACTGCATTGTGCTCACTGCTGAAGCAGTTCCTAAACTGATTGAATTAATCAAGGCAAAGTCTTTATTCAAACTCTTGCTCCAGTGCTTTATCTGTGATCAAAGAGGTCATTTCCACTTTCCCCTGTGAGCAGTGGGTATACCCAGAGAGTAGCATGGCATTGCTGTTCAGTTGTTGCTATCCTGCCCTATATCAAACACTCAAGTCTAGAAACTAAATCAGCAAAGTGCCTCATCCAAATCAAAGGCAACTATGTCCACAGCTGATACCTGTCAGCATCACTATAAGAAACCCCAGGAAAAGAGTGTGTGAGGAAAGTCAGTAGAAGTTGGACTGGGCAATGTCGATAAGTCTATGACCCTGGTATGGGTATACACAACAATGAATAATATAAGAACATTTATTTAGCACACTCTGTATTTGTATTCAAAAGCTAAGATAGGCAATTACACCCAAACAGATGATTTAAGCTGCATCTGGAAAAAGGTATAAATATACAACAACAGAGATAGATACAGAAATATACACAGAAATAATATTATTTATGTATAAGAATACTGGGCTAACCTGTAGAACTCTCTGCCACTAAAGTTATAGAAATTAAGAGCTTAGATATATGCAAAGGAGACATCTATTTTGATAATAAGAAGAGGCATAATTACCTCAAGCATCTTGGTAAATTATTAAGTTGCTAACCAGCACTATTAACCTTAGTGCTTCATTCCAGGTGGTAGGAAAAGTGTCTTCATTATTTCCATATATATTGGTTACTTTCTTCTTTTCAGCATCTGCTGTGGTTTGCTTTCAAAATCTAGACGAATCAGTGTCAGGTACTAGATTAGACTTCATACACAATATATTCTAATATTGTTGTATAAATATTTTAATTTACCTAAATATCTCATCTGCCTGCATAACTCTGTGTGCTGGAATTATTAAACACTAATGAGAAGTAAACATTTTTCCAAAAAAATGGCCCATTTACTTAAAAAGCAAAATCTGTTGGGGGGAATTTGTCTTCTATTCTTCTATTGAGGGAAATAGTGTTACTGTTCTCTTAGCTTTCTACATTATCTATTGCTTGAGAAATGGGGGGGGAGGGGGGAAATGACACAGTTGTGTTTCATTTAGTTTGGATTCATTGATTCATTAAGTGTCATTTCCAAAAGCATTTTCAAGCCCCGCTGTCCCAATGAAGCCAGGTACTTTGCAGTTACTAACTCTGAGTTACCTGGAAATAAAAATCATGGGGTGTGACAGAGCAAAGCAGAACTTTCCTAAGTATCCTCCTGCTTTTCTCTATCACCAAGAAGTGCATAGTGACAGCCGCATCTGTGCTTAAATATCTGTGGTGAAATAACATCCTAAAAGAAGGCAATGGCAGCCTTGTGCGTGACCAGAGGTGGGCTTACTTGCAATGTAGGCTGCAAGAAGCTTGTTTACAGTGCCTGTTAATGCTGCCTGTGCTGATCTAGGTCCACCAAACAGCCTGAGAAACTGCTCTGGTCTCTAAGCAGTCAGAAGCTGTGAAAAATTTAGTAGCTCAAGCTCATGAGGGAGACGTTGCTAAAGTGCAAAGGGCAGTTGAGCATGTTTTCCCTGTTGTGCCTTTGGTACCTTCTTTATTAAAATGGACAACTGTCCAGAGCCAAGATACAAACAACTTTTCAGCCTAAACTGTGGTTCTCTGCTAACGTGGTTCAACCGTAGTGGTCTGTTTGCATGGAACACATGCAGCCACGTGGCTTGTATGTGAAGTCAATGGTAAAGGGAATCAATATTGTTACAATCATCTTCAATTACTTGTTTGCACGAGGAGTAACACTAGGCACTCAGATGTGACATTTGGTGCATTGCATTTCAAAAATTCCTTTTTTCTCATTTATAGTAAGCAGTGAATATCTTATTCCTTGGATAAGGTATGGAAATTTCTAGCTATGCTTCTGTCAACCTTAGCTGCTGGTGAGCAGGTGACTCCTGTTTCCATTTGTGAACACTATGCTTTTATACAGAAAATGCTTTAATACACGGAAGAATACACAGCCTAGCCTGTCTTAGCATAGGCTTGCCACTGAAGGCACCTGTGTCTACCAGAAAAGCACATTAGGATGCACATTAACAACTGTGTGGCAAAAGTCACAGTTTCATGATACGATCACTGAGTAGTCTACAGAAGTGGGATCCAGGCCTTTATTCTTGCAGAACCCAGTTATGAAGGATAAATAAGTAAAGTGGGATGTTAACTGTATTGATAGAGATTTGCAAGTTGCCTCCTTTACCAGAGAAGGAAAAATAAATTCTTTCTTTTAGTGCTATGTAACTCTTGTATAATAGACTAAGATGTGAGGGGCTACCTTGCCATTTGTGCAATGATACAAATTCAGCTTTTTAAAAATGGAGAGAGCATAATACAAATAGTCAGCTTAAACATTTCCATGTCCATGGTAAACACGTGTACATGTTTAGGGCAGAAATCAGTACTGCATACACTAAAAACCTGCATGAGAACAACTGGGGACAGTTAACTGCATCACAGGTTTTCTTCTTTTTCTATGCAATTATGTCTGAGGTACAAAGTTACATTCTATTATCAAGTGAAATCATGACTCATCTGAAATGAGGTAAGTTGCACAACTTTGAGACAAAAGAACCCATAAATGTGGGTTTGCTGTTCAGAATCACTAATGTTGCTAACCAATGACAGAGGACCCAGAGGGATTGGACTGTTTTCTGCAAAAGCACAAAAAGAAGTGTTTGCCCACAAGTTTCATCATAGGTTCTTATCACAGCACCAAACTGGTATTTGTGTTCTTCAGCATTATTTAGGCATAAAAAGGAGAGTGAGTTTACCCTTCAGCGTCAACCCTTCATGGGGTGCAGCTTATCCTCTGGTGTGTGTTCTCAGCTCTGATGATCACATACATCTGCAGGCATTGAAATATTCCAATGCATAAATACTAAGCCTGGGCATTCTGAAAGGTGCCAGTGGAAATAGAACCACGGTCACGAAGGGGGAGTGACCCTTTACGCAGCAGCGGGGGCCCTCCCCCCCCCAAGGGCCAGAGGACAACCTCCACTATCCATCTCAAGGACACTGATGGCACATGGTCATCCCACAATCCCTGTGACCCTGTGACAGAAAAGGGAGAACTAGGCATCTAACACAGAGTTAGCAGCAGATAGTCTTTGTAGTAGCATCCTACAGCTAAAACCTATGAGAAGGTAAAAAACATGCTACAGAGTACCAGCCTGATAAACCACCACAATACCCTTATCTGATGGGAGCAGGAATCTTCTGCTGAGCTGTGCTCTACAGTTCTTCCCCAAACATGCTTTGTCTCTGGAAAAATGCATGTGTGGCATCATTAAAAAAAGGATACAAGCTTGCCTGTCATTGATGAAGTAGATAAAAAATGGCTTGATGTTCTCTGAAGTACAGAACACACAGTGTCTCTAAAAGTGTGGAATAAATTGCCCAATATATTCTGGATGAGAAACAATATGTCACACTGTTAAAGACACACTAATGCACTAAAGAACAGGCTTAAGGTCCAGCCTCAACTTGGCATTATCATTTCTTAGGCTTTCCCTCCCGAGGTGGTATATATAAACATAATACTGCTGGGGGACCCAGTGGGAATTTCACTGTTGATTATCACAATTCCCAGAGTAAATATCTGTAATGAATCAATTTTTTATTTTGAGAGAGGTTCAGCTAGAGCCATCTAACTCAGTGAGCCCTGAAACTCAGTGATCTTTATTCTATCATTTGGCTCAACAGTAGCTTGTCTAAGTGTCTGCTTTGAATTGATAGAAAGTTGAAAGAGTGTTTCAAGAGTGCATAAGGCAGGCAAATGTGCAGCCTTATTTTAAGACAGAAATTATTATTTGTAATTATTACATACAATGATTAAACCAGGCAGCACATCTCTAACCTCCCACTGTCTCCTCAAGTAGAGGATTAAGCCATGTTCAAATATAATTCCAGTCATTCGTTTTGTGTCCCCATACACCAGTCAATGTTAGGCAACTACAGGAAGAAAAAGGCACAAACAGTAAAACAAAAGTACAAAGAGCAGCTTAATACTACAGTAAGCAATTTAAACAGCTGTCTTGATTTATCACAGCACAGTGTTTTCTTCATTCCCCAGCAAGCATCTTCTCCAAAAGGAAAAGGAAATTTTTGTTAGTGCCCACCAACTGGGCAGAGCTGGAGAAAGTTGGCAAAGATTTTCTTAATTTGTTTCCCATATAAAATGTAAGGCTTTATTTGCCTTTCATGCTACTGTGAGGTTTGGGTTTATATAAGTTCATGCTTTCAATTTGCAGAAATTAATATTAATTTTGTACAGACACGCTATACATACAGAGATTCACTACTATTTGCAGACTTACGGGTTCTTAGTATCTTCAAAACCTGTTTCTCCTCACAATGTAAATGGCAAAAAAACAAAAAAACAACAAAAAAAGATCAGATTCCATAAAAGAAACATTGAGGTTAAAAAAATTAGATGCCCTTTCTCTCCTCTTTCCCCAAACACAGGAAATATAAAATGCTCAGGTTTCTACAAATATCATATTAGCTCTAAGTCATCCAAATAGGAGGAGTTCCTTTAACAAATAAAGGGGAATGTAATATGCTGTACATGCAAGTAAGAACTCTACCCTTTCTATATTCAAGTTAGTCTCAGAGTCCAGTTTTCTGTTAACTTGTCCAGCATCCTCTGTTTAGTCTTCTCTCCAACTTCCATGTTGCATCTTGCCCTTGTTAGGTGAGCTTTTCTGAAGAAGGAGCATAGTTTCTCACACTGGGAAAGCACATAGCTCCTTGATCTCTGCACATGAATGTATGGAGACAGCAGCCCTGTAGCTGAAAGCAAAGAAGATGACAGGGTTACTTGAACTAATAATTCCACAGCTTAATCTCATTTCTTCTAAGAATTCAGTCTCAGTTACTTGCACAAAATATGGAATAAAAAAAAAAGGAAACAAGGTGGGATAAGTGCTCATGCTGTACTGTCTCAGAGGGATGACACAGCTTCTGTCTGCCTTTGCAGTACTTTGAGGAAACCTGTGTTCAGCGGAAGATAGGCATGAGTGGTCCCTAGGTATTTGAGGGCTCTGGAAGTGATAAAGGCAGATGGAGGAGCCATCTCCCATCTAAAGCACGCTGCCGTGTGAGCCAGAGGCCTACATCCTACTTTAGAATTAATACTGGTTTTTGACACAGCAACAAACCCAGCTGACCTCCTCCTGGGAAAACAGTATAAAGACAGCCAGAGATAAAACCTGAGTACCAATCCTGCAGCAGGTGTCTTCCATCCCAGTAAGGGCACACTGCTACTGTAGACCTCAAAACATCACTGGCATGGATTTTACGGGGATTTCTCACCTATCCCTAATCAAGCTAATTAAATCTGCAGTGTCATAGACCAGAAGGCAGCTGTAGAATACAGCAGTTTATGTTGGCACCATCAACGTATCGACCCAGTTATTTCCAAATTTGATATTAACATACAAATCCTGCTTCCAGTTCTGACTCTGGAGGCACACCTTTCTGCCTGACTTGTCAATGAACTCCATCTGGGAAAGTAATACTGTAGTTTTATTTGTGAGACGCTCTGCATGCTGATGCAAGCTTGAACATGATTCCCTAGGCTCAGATTGGGTGGGGAGGGGACAACCATGTTACAAACATGCCCACAGATAAATTCTTGAAGTATGCTGTTTTTCATGTAACACCATTTTCTTTAAAAAAGTTGATAGGACAGCAGTAGCAGGTTTCAAGCTACTTCCTCTCATGTCTGTGTCCATACTCTCAGCTAAAGCACAGTTGGCACAGTTGCCTCTGGAAGACCCCCTAGCACTGAAATGCAGCAAGCCTTCAGCAGGACATGTAAAAAGGGACAAAGCTGCTAAGTGGCTCACTATGTCTCCAGATGAAGTACTCCAATCAGTCCTAATACAAGCCAGGAGAAGATGGAAGACCAAATTTCACTTGTTTAATCTGTAACTTCCAGTAAGTTGTGTTGCCCTGCTAATTTCTAGTGCTTGTATTTCTAGACATGTGTTTTGCACCACAAAGTCAAGTCCCGGTGAAGCTATTAAAAAATTATTGAGTTTACTTCCCCTACACAAATCTTTCTAAAGAGATACTTCCCAAAATAACCTGGTTTCAAGGGTAATGTAGAAGTTGTTTATTCCCTTTCCAGAATAAGTCCTTTCCAGAACTGGATTCCTTCCATGCTGCCTTTTCATCCGAAAATGCTTGTTTTAGTTTAAGTGATATGTTTCAATGTGTATGTCTCTTGAACCTCAACTACCTGAGACAGCAAGAATATTAATTTCCCTTATGGGATAGCATCATGGAATATTTTATATACCATGACAAGCAACCACTTCTGTAGTATTTGGGTCCAACATTTCCTGGGCTATTTAATCTCAGCTTTTTAAAAATGAAGTGTCCTGTAATAGGAAACTGCATTAGAGTGAAAGTAATAAATGCTTCATTCAGTGTGCTTGGCCAAAATAGCTCACTGAGTCTTGGAATGAAAAGACCCTTGTCCATAACAACACAGACACAATCACAAGCGCAGACAGGATGGTTTTGCCTACCAGGGAAAAATGCTTTGTAACATTAAGAAGGAGGAGGGAAACCTTTCAGTGGGTAGGGCAATCAGTTTGGGAGTAATTAGGACATTGATAATGGGGAGTGGGGAAGAGATGGGAGATCAGAAGTGCATAAAGAGGACAGCAGAGTGAATGTCCCTTCTTCTTAAGGAAACCCCTTCCTCTTGTTCCCTTCCTGTCTCCCTTAAGAGAATATTTAGGATAACTCATTACAGAAGCATTCCAAGGAGGAAAAAACAACAGTTGTCACTCCCTCCTCCTCCTCCATTATACTTTCTCAGCTATATCTTCTTGAACATTGTAACATTGGATCCAAGCCTTTTCTATGTCATCCTTCTCTTCAGTTTTTTGTGTGTTTCTCTTCTTCCCTAGTGTTCTCCTAGGTTTTGCACTTTGCCTTCCACTTCCACCCCTTCATCTTGACTCTCCCTTTTTCTTTCTCTGGTCTTAATCTGCAGTTCTCCTTTAACTCCTTGTAATCCCTCTCTCCAGAGGGATTCATGATACAAATGGCAGCAGCAAAGGCAAATTGAGGTGCTCATCAGAAGCTGAAACCACAGGACTTGGACAATGATTTGCCAGTGTATCAGATCCCGCAGCAGTGCTAAGAGTCATCCTACGAAGACTTCATCTGTTCACAGAGGTCAGTCAAGCATGCTGCTTTTTTTTATTTGCCATCAGCTAATGGCTTCCCAGGCCAGTTAAAATTATCCCACAAGGTTCCAATCAGCATGAAAACTGTCAAAGACAACTGCAGCAGTACTACAGATCTCGTCTTGACTGAGGCTCAGCACTTCATCATGGTCACTTCTTGCTTCCCTGAAAGTAATTCACAATTTGGTCTCAGCAAGAAGGACCAAAGAAACAGCAGTCATGCTTAAACCAAACATTTTATTCTGATAATGAAATTACCCCAAAACAGTTAGTCTAGTTAGGCAGAGCTATAATTCAGAATACCTGTCAAATGTAGGGAATGCTGCTCTGTATGTCTACAGTGTGGTAACTGCCTCTGGAAGGATTTTTCAGATATCACAGCATTTCTGTCCCTTCAGGGAGTGTTGCTTTCAATTCCTGCCTCGATCACAAGTCCTCTGACAGGACTGTCCTGGAAAAAAAAATTTTTATTTGCAAGCTCTTTTCAGGCTATACTGTTTTCATGCTCAGAGTTACTAGACCTCTATTCAGGGAAAAATATTGGCTGCAGAGACAAGACTTAGATACTCACCCAGTTTGTGGTACACAGGAAATTTAAGGTACAGAAGTGTCTAGTGTGGGACTAACAGTGAGGAGACCCAGGTGCTCTTCCTGTTTCTGCAGACAATCTGCAGTGACATGAGACTAACAAGTCTGTGATCTGGTGGCCTACACTGAGTAAAAAACATTTTATGCATCAGTTTACCTCACCACAATGAAATCTGCAAAAATAAAGAAGTGTAATGAGTTTTTAAGAGGAGGAGATGATCTCCCGTCTCTTGCCATGGGAACAGAATCTCCGAAGACAATTTGCTCTCATAGTTCTCTCCTTTTTGACAGCAATAGGATTGGTTTGTTCCAAGGCAAAGTGCTTTCTAAAGAGGCTGCTGCATTCTTTCCAGATGGACATTGCATTATCTCTCCATACTCTTAGTGAACCTTTCAACATTGCTGACAGCAACAGGAAGTTACTGATGTGCTTGTTTGCGTGTTTTAAGATGCCATAAGTTGAACTGCCAGAGTTTCAAACAGAGGGCTTTCTGTTTTGCATACCAAATATTTCTTAAAGAAAACATACTCTGCTTTCTCTTGTCTGTGCTATCACTCACTTGCCATACTGGACAATGTTCTAGTCACACTGCAGAGTAAGAGAAAACAGGTTTTGCTTTTTTCCCTGGAAGGGGTACCAAGTAAAACAAATAAATATCTGGTTAAATTATATACTTATATTGAACACACTTCATATAAAAATTTGTGTCTGTTGAGATTACTGTCAACTCTCAGACAGATAATTACCTGCAGCAATGCCAGAAGCACTCTTTGACCTTGTTTTCAAATGGAAGGTTGTCATGGCACATGCCAACATTATGTCTTCCACCATTGTCTAGACATGGCCAAAATGACTGTCAGCCTTCACTGACACTGTTGTGGGAACAGAGGTAAGTCCGTAATACAGCTTTGCCACCCACTCAGCACAGTGCAAAGGAATTTATTTAACCTGAACTAAAAATGTACCCAGACAACAGAAGTGTATTACCATCTTGGCCTACTAATGCAAAGCACAATTATTTTTAATTTCACATGTCAAAATGAAAAATGTGCAGCTTAGTTATTATTTTTGTGTTGTAAATAAGAAGTTTGTTCAAGACTGAAAAATGCAAAAAGCCACAGACAGTTCCTCATAGAAAGAGCATCCCCTCCCCAGAAGCCAAAACCAGTAGAAATGTATTCAGTTAGGTGAGTACTCAAATGCAACTGCTTGGTCTGAAAGGTCTAAGGCATTTGATCTATTTTCTTCTCACCATGTGTATTGTCCACTCTCAGACCTGCAAGGCACAGAGTATAAATAGAGAGTACCAAGCTCTGATGTCCCAGCTCAGCCTGTTCTTAAAACTGCAGGGTCAAGCAGGAATTTCCAAAATAAAAAGTAAGCTTAACAGAACAAAAACCTCCAAAGGCAATACCATTGTAAGGAATACCTGTCTCTGGTCTTCCCATCCAGGATTTAATTACCACGTTGTGAAATACTATCCGTTACCTAGAGAAGTTCAACTCTCCAGGTAACTGCAGTGTGAACTGAGCTGCTGAAAATAGCTGACAGCCATTCCTAACCTAAGAATAGGCTTATGCCCATGCCTGCCGCAGATATGAGACAAAGCAAAACTCCTCTTTTCTTTGGTAGCACCAGGGGTTTTACCCCAGGGAACCACACAGCTCCTGATTTGGTTGACAAACCACATTTTCTTTCAAATTATACTGGACATGCTATGAAAGAAAAAAATATCATTTTTTAAATGTTTTTTTCAGCTGAACTATTTCTCTCATCCCTAATGGAAGTATCCTGGTCATGATGTACAACAGAGTCCCCATCTGTCTTCTACTCTGCTTTTTCATCCTACTTGCCTCCCTTCAGCTTACACCACTTTTCTTCCCTGCAGCAGAGCCTTTTCTCAGTCAAGCCATCTTCCAGCTAATTGCAGAAAGAAATCTTTACTAGGATATAACAAACATTGTGTTGCTGCTCCCTTTCTGGCTTAATTTGTGTTTTAGGGCCCCTGATTTCACCTGTGCCCACCCTGCAGTGGTTTGGGAGTTTTCTTGGTTGTTTTTCTTTTTTTCAGACAAAACCTCTGCATTTCTTTGTCCAACACTTAGCACAGTGCCCATTTCATAATTGGTGTAACTGCGTTTTTGTAAGATGAGGGAAAAAACTCACCAATTTCTCCATGCTGGAGATGAGAAAAAGAAAGCCTGTTAGTGGTTGGTCTTTTTGACATATCTGTTCCCATCTACGTGACAAAGCAACCATGCTGAAAATGATGAAAGGGTTATACAGCACAGGCTTTAGCACAGGTCACAAGACTTAGGAACACACTAAAAACATGGCTCAGTTTCCCACAAGATACAAAAAAAAAGGAAAGATTTTTATAGTATTCTCTTTTTAAATATGACATTCAGCATTGCCATCAGAGTTCTGTCACCATATCCCTTAAGTCTAGACAGAAAAATTACACTAAAGCCCCTTAACTCTAGCCAGAAAAATTACACTAAAGCCCCCCAAAAGTCAAGAATTGCTTTAAGACTGTTCACTAATATTCGATATAGTTAACCTAACACACCTGGCATATTTGAACTAAAGATTTGGTTATGCTTTAATTTGTCTTGATTGGCTTCGGGGTTCTTCTTTTCCTCCTGTACTCAGTTTCCTTTTGTGTGTATATAAACACACACATGTACATATACACATGGAGAAAAAGCTCAATTTCTTACATAATAAGGTGACCACAAAAGCTGAAACAGACTAATATTGCAAACCACACAACATCATGTGCTCAGATTCAGATCACAAAGCTGCAAGCAGCAGATGCCGTACTCAGGTTACTGAGACACAAGACTACGGTTACCTGGTTTCTGCTGCTAATTCACTGGATGGCACTGGAAAACATCCCTTTCTTGCACAGACATTGACTGCCTCTATCCAAATGACAGTGATATGTATCTCTCAGGTGCCATTTACTGTCTTCAGGAGGAGTTGAGTAAGTGCAGAATCCATCCCTGTGCTGGCCTGTATTAGCAGACTTGTGCATCAGAGGTGTTATTCTCAGTCATCTGCTGCTCAAAACAGCTCTTCTGAAACCTTGGAGTTTCCCTTTAAGAGCTGATGAGATGTGTGTCATCCAACAGCTCGTTTTACTTCCTCAGCATTTTCTCACTTCCGCTTTGTGTGTCCTGGCAATCAGATTGTCTCAAAACAGCGCCCTTCTGAACACAGGGAAGTGTCATGCACCAGCTCTGATCTCACACCAAAACATACCCAAGTCAGTAGTTACTCTGGATTGCTGTTAGGATAGAAGGGGTGAAAACCCCATCCAAACTCATTAATAAGCAGTATAAACAGCATTCTGGAAATTATTGAAGTCTGATGCTTTTTTAAGACAAGAAGTCCCGATACCAGGAGAATTGAACAGGCTTAACCAAATCCTGTCAGTGTCACCATCAGAAATTCAGAGAAGCTCCCACTGATCACGGAATTACACCAGCAGTGTAGGGGCCACACACCTTAAAAACAAAACAAAATGAAACAGAACAAAACAAAGCAAAAAACCCCAGCAAATCAATCTAAAAAAATTTTCTAAGGGACATTAAGGTTTGGGTTTTCACCATTCCCCCTCCCACCCAGTGAAGCGGCAGATTTTTCTCTATCATACAAAATTGCTGTTTCACTTCTGCTGGCTGTGCAAACTGTGCAGGAGCTCACTTTTTTCCTCCTGCACTTCTGTTCTGGATTTCAGGGGAGTTGTGTGTGCTTCTCACCAGTCTAAATGAGAATAGAATCAGACATTCCATCTTCAGTGCTTTTGTTTCAAAGATAAATGACTCTGTTTTGCTGCTTTCCCCATGGCTTATTCCAGAGCTCTGCTGCCAGTTCAGACTGGCTTGCTGACAAGACTTGACACACAGTGAAAACAGTTGAAAAATAGCAGCGCTCCATCTGATCAGTTACTTTGTAAGGTCTGTGCTGTCAGAGCTGTAGGATTGGGAAGGCAGCAGACCCACAGCAGTTTCAGATACCTGTTTCTATTAGAGTGCTTTGCAACAGTTTATTCCCTGTGTTTTGGACAGGAAGCAGACAACTTGGTAAACTTAACACTGGAAGGAAAGGAAGGAGAAAGGGAGAAAGAAAAGAGGGAAGTAGCTAATTGCTATAGAACATGTGCAAATGTAAATGTGCAACCAAGCAGGATACACCGTGTCGCATTTGGATGGAAGATAAACCAAAGGTCAGCCAGAGCAGCACTGCAAAGGCAAACTGATGACATGCAATTAAATTCTCATTTGTAAAGAATGCTCTTGTTCCAGTGTTTGATCCCCTGCAAGGATTCCCAATTGTTTTATAACTTTTCACAGGAGGAAAAATACTTGCTTCCTGCTTCCTGCCTTAGCCTGAAGACACTCAAAGAAGAAGGGCCAGATTCATTTCCTTGGAGGCTTTTTCTAGTGATCTGTCAGAAAGAAACATCTGCATAAACACTTAATACATGTCAATTCCATCAGTCATCAAGCCCACACTGGTGAAAACAAGAGAATTAAAATGAAACTGACACCATTTGTTTGGGGAAATTTTATCTTACATCAGCTCCAGAGTGGACAATCAGATTCATATCTTCAAGCGGTTTGCAGATGGGATGCTGTTTTGGAAGCAAGTTTTAAGTTAGAACAACTCCTTTATCAGAAATAACTCTTGAGAACTACAACATGTGGGAGGCAAAAGTGTTCAGTCCCAGTCAGAAGCACATCAGCTGTTCATGTCCTGTTGTATGTGCATAACTCTTCAAAAAACTATTTAGGCATGGACTTCAGCTTCAGTCTGACACCTGCTTCCATACAAAATCATTTCCTAAGTGAGCATCTAGAGCAGCTGACTATCAAAAGGAGAGTCTTCTACTTCCCTGCTCCTCTTGGAACTGAAGAGTTTATAGTAACAGGAGTGAGCTTTTTTCATCTCAAGTTGACAAGGAATAGGTTGCGGTACTGCTATTCACAGCTTGCAGCATTTTATTCCACTGTCATCTCACCTGTGAGAGATGCTAATGAATTCAGAAAGGTTTTGTGGGCTTTTTTCTCTAAGGATGTGTGCTAGAAAGCCTAGCTGAAATGTCAGCTTCCACATTCCAAAACTGACAGTTAGAAAAACAAAGGAAAAGTTTCTGCTTGTCAGTGCTGGGGTTTGCTTGAGGGAGACACACAGGGAACTGCTCAACACTTTGAATCCCTCCTCCCCTTTTCCTTTTTAGGCAGTCTCTTTTAGGACTAGGACTGCATTTTAAGATCTGCTAACATCGGTGCCTGACTAAAAATAGGCTTTTTGAGAAACTATTCAATAAAGCACGACTTTCGCTATGAATGAGAAAATTAACACGGTAGGGTCTTAGGCTTGTTTTGACAGAGATATTTGGCACCCCCAGCTGCCTGTCAGCTTGGAAATGGCATCAGAATCTCTTCTCTGGAAGCAACTGTGGGAGAGAGGAGCATTATCACAGAGCAGGAACTCAGGTCTGAGCCCAGGCTCAGCCAAATAATTTAGGGTGCTCAAGTGCTCCTAAGGGATGGACAATATTTTCTGCATGGTTAAAGCCACTGTACTCTTGTGACTTCTTAAGCAAGGGTTCTGTAGATACTTCAGAAGCCACTTCTTTTCATTTAAAGAGAAATAAAATCAAGAAGTCTTTTACTCTACATCAAAAGCCCTGATGTTACTATCTTAACTTGCCATCTCTCTGCTTTAAAGTGCAGATTTCTATGTCCTCACTGCTACATACTAGAAGTTACTCTTGGCAAAAAAGATTTTTTTCAGGTCTCTGACTGTTCTCAAGGCCATAACCCTTGAATACAGAGTGAGGTGTGCTCTCTTGGCTGGACTGCACACTGAGGGACTGATTTGAGGGCGGATGGCAAATCCAGAGGATGTAAGTCAGAACCATCAGAAGTCAGAGACCATGTGCCGACTATTAAGTAAATATTAAGTGTAAGGACTGGCTTAGCCCAGAAAAGTACATAACCCAGAAAAGAGTCAATACATAGCCTATTAGTTACAAAAACAGCAAATGGAAGAGAGCAGTCTGTGCAGCCATGATCCCTTCAATCAGGGCAGACAAAGATATACCTAAAGTATACCAAATGAAATATAGGTTAAACAGCATGGACAAATTTTGTAGCTGCAGGGGTATTGAATGAATTGCCTGGGGAGATAGTGATGTTTCCATCAAAGGGAGGTTTTCGTAAAAGGTTAGACAAACAGGTGTAGTTAATCCTGCTCTGGGGTGGGTGAAGAAACAAGATGAGCTTGTGAGACCCCTTTGAGACTTAGCTTGTAGTCCAGAGGAAGCACTGAGAATGGTGAGCAGCTTCAATTCCTCCCTTTTTCTGCAAGTGAAAATAAGGATGCAAGTGTGTTTTTAGAATACAGTCCTTGACCAGCCCCACAGTCCTCATTTACCCAACCTTTCCCTTCCTCATCCTTTCCCCTAGCTCAAAAGAAAGCCTGTTAGTTTTAGGTAATTTCACATTCTCAGGCAGTCCTTTTTCCCAGTGATTCCTCACTTCTTCCTGGAGAATTGAACTACCTCATCACCACCACCCCCTTGCTCAGTGACAGCTTCCTCTTTGCTAAGTGATTATCATTGAGGATCCGTTGGTGATTTTCAGTGTTTCTGCTCCTGCTCTGGTAGTTGCCCCTCTCCAGCATTCTGGGGTGGGGCTGTGGTGCTGGCTCACAGCCTTAGGGCCAGCTGCTACAAAGACAGTGGGAAGCACATGGGAACAAAATAGGTGCATATTTCCACCAGCTGCTTTCCAAAAGAGCCTTCTGGAGCTTAACGTGTAGGAAGCACTTTGCACCCAGCTAGAGACAGTCCTTCCTCAAGCTAACAAAACAAAAATCATCCAGTCTCCATGTAGATCAATTATTGCATAACAGATGATGCTGCATCAAAAAAACCTTCTTTCCCATGGGGAATGGACCACCTCAGAGTGCTGCTAACTACCAGGGCCTGTTTGATAGAAGCCCTCCCACCCATTTCAGGGTGGGTGGCAAACCAGTTGCAATCATCTCCTCCATCCACCAAGACAGTAGCTGACGTCTATGTTAGCCATGATTCCTTTTCAACATGGCATTTCTGTTCACACTTTGATTTACATGCCAAGGATGATAACTTCTTCTAGCTAAAGCATGTGCCAGTTCTGTCTGGTTCTCCCCCGCAAGATTTGGGAGTTTATCTTGAAGCTAGCTTTAGTGATGGATTATCAATGACAAATCATTCAAATAGCATACTCCCACAGGAGAGTTCTGCCTCCTGTACCTTCTTATCCGTCACCCTGTTTCTCCAGAAGGTCCCATAGTTAGGAGTCCTAACCCTGCAGGAAAATTTATCTAAGTTGTCCCTATAATCAGGTGTATAAAAGTGCATAACTTTAAGGCAGACACCACATTCCACAGGCAAAGAGAGCACTTCATTTACAATGTGAAGCCTGCAAGACAAGTTTTCCTTTAACCTACCACCTGATAAGTAAAGAGCTTTAGCACTGCTGTCAGAGTTCCCTGAAACAAAGGCTATAAAGAAGGAGGATTTAGCAAGAGCTGCTGCCATCTGCTAGACTGCCTCTTTGATCCTCCTTACACTTCTGTAATCATGCCAGCATCTCTGCAAAACAGAACAGAGCTGCTGCATAAAGGCAATCTCCTCACTTCCTTTTTAACTCTGATGGAATTTTTGCTTGGTGACATTTCTTTTTACTCACTAAGAAAACTCCCGCACCTCCCTCCCCACAGTCTCTACCTCTTTATTGCAGCCTTCCTGTTTAAAGCACATGGAAACCGTGACTCAGACAAGTAGCGATGACTAGGAGATGCAACACTGGTCTGCGAGTGAGGAGATCCACACACTGAAACTGGTTGAACATTTCCATTGTGCTGGTTCGGACTGGGAGCTCTCCAGAGTCACAATTGGTTAATATATATTTCCCTAGCAGATTCCCTGTAAATGGTCCCTGAGGCTAAAGGTGTGGAGGGACCTGAGAGGGTGGTGAGGCACTGGAGAAGGTTGTGTCCTGTGAGATGTCCCTGACCATGGCAGGGGGTTGGAACTGAATGATCTTAAGTCCTTTCCAACCCTAGCCATTCTATGATTCTATGAAACCAGGGTTCAGTAATCCAGACTGCTCTCTGGCTTTAGGGGCTGCTCAGACCATATCCTGGGCACCATAAAAATGAAGAAGTGTGCAGATAAACTGTGATCTCCAGTGTATGCACACCAGTCCAAACCATGGTTACTCCATGTTGTGGTGCAGGTATTTCTTCTGATTTCTCACTGTATTTTCAACACCATATTATGTTGCACAACAGCTGAAGAGTAATTAACAAAGTCAAGTAGGCAACCTTGTCCTGAAGAGTCAGGCATTGCCAAGACTTGACTCTTCTATGCTAAAAGCTGTGACAAAATTCCAAGCAGCCTCTTCCAGGGGCTCACATTCATGGACTGCCAGTATCAGCCTTTCACAATGCAGTCATTGAAGACATCTATCAAACAATATTAATAAAAATTCAGGGAGTTTTCCCCTCTAGTACTCATCTGATTTTTCAGCCCTGAAGGTAAGCATCACCCTTTCAGTTTTGTCATTTCCAGAACAGGTTCTTTATTTTGAGCATTTCAGCATTACTAACTCTGTGCCTCTTTGTCAACCCGTTATGGAAGGAAAATAAACATGAACTGTGCATTCAACATATTTAACATTTTAATGATCTAATAGACATAATTTCCAATGGAGTACTTCTTGTTTCAAGACCTTTAATCTTGACAATCTGAAGCATGTCTTTAGTAGCCCAGAAACAGTCTTAATTGTGAGGGGATCTATGCAGTAGCTTAATACTAAACAGGCATTAATGAGGCAGTGAATCTAAGAAATGGAAGCCTTTCCTAGCTCACCACCACCCAAGCAGGCTTTGAGCTGCCTGACAGAGAGGGCTTAATTTCAGACAGGTGGCAAAGCTGGGAATCCAGGAATCTCCCAAGCATAACTCCCATTAACTTTTGTACCTGTTTCCAAAGGGAACTGTCATTTCATCTGCATTGTTGCTGACATCAAAGTGTCCAGCTGATCAAGCTCACACAACCAGTTATACGGTCAGGTCAGCGGGGAGAGAACAGGAACTAGATCTTAGAAGGCTTGGGCCTCCTGCTGTGCTTAGATTATGATTTAATGCTGAAAAGTTGGCATGGCAACCAAATGTCACAGCCAAGAAACGGTCCAGGAGAGGGCCAATCAAAAGTGCTACCCAACTCCTCTGCAGGCAGATCTGTGCCCTACATACACTTGTTGTCCACACTGCCGTAGCAGCGAGGATTGCATCACAAGGAAGTGTTATTAATAAACTAGGCAGGTCTGCAATAAGAGAACAGCAAATTTCTCCAGACCTCTTGAAGTGGACCCTGGCATCTCATTCAGGCTCCTTTTGCCTCATCCACTGACTGCCACACGTTGCCAGGAGACAGTCTTGCTCCTCATGAGGACTCGCCACTAACTGCCATTGTGCTCTCTCTCCATGTCCCCCTCCTACCCTGTCCTGCTCTTGATCCCCTCAATGACAGGAGCCTGGCAATGCCCCATCTCAGTTCTGACACAATGGCCTCTTTTGATTTGGAGGTTTTCAAAAGCTTTTTACTTTTTCCACAGTGATCAGCCGAACAAAATCCCCAAGCTGCACTTGGACCTGCACTCCAGACCTGCAACACACAGGCTGGAAAAGGGATGTGAGTGCTTTAAAGAATGGGGCTGACCTCTGGGGGAATTAGTGAAGTACAGTGTGAAGGACCTGTTTTCAGATGGATCACAGACTAATCGCTTTCTGCGTGAGCACTGTGGCTGCATCACCTGAGGTCTAAGATACTAAGCTTGGGCTTGAGGCTAGTGCACACAAGATATGCCAGCCTTATGTGTGCTGGGATCTCTTTATAGCTCATTAAAGCATAATCATGGCTATTTAAATGCTCTCAGGCTTTTGTTTCATCATATAGGGCTTCAGAAACTTCACTTGCCTTTGGACATTGGCAAGCTAGTCCCATGCACATCAGAAAATAAGCAATTCATTCTTCAGCCTTCTTCAAGTGCTTTCCTTATACCCCTAAAGGAAACCTTTTGGATATAGACTCAGTATAAGCCAATACAACGTCACCTTCCAGAGCCTGCTGGTACTAGTGCCAATCTCTTACTTTGGAGAGCTGGGCTGTTAAGCAGATAAGTGAAGTTAAAGCCTAATCAGTTCCATGGTTGGTTTGCCAAGTACTGTTAGCCAGGGATCAGTTTATGCTGCCATTTGGCATCATCTTCCATGGTCAAAGCAAACTGAAAGGTGGCAACTGAGGAGTAAACTGCTGTTGCAGCAGAGACCTCAGCACAAAAAGGCTCAAACAGAACAGAGTAGCTAAGGTGTAACTAGAGAATGCAGTGCTTCAGCTTCCTCAGGGATCTTGGAAAGCCAACAGGAAATGAGCAATGATTTGAATGCTCTGTTTGCAGGGACTTAATCACACAGCCTGTCCCTGCACCCCTGGGAAGGGCAGTTCCTTTAGGTGTCATTCTCAGTGCTGCATCCAGAAGGAACTATCAAGTCATCTTTCCCTGGATTAGAAATCCTTCACTGTCTGCAACAAAAATAAACTAAGTATCCAAGATCCATCATTCCCAATGCTTCTTTTTCTCACCCCAGCATTCCTGTTCCCTGTCTTGCACTTCACTCACCGACCACCTCTTTTCCATCAATAATGTCACAGTTTTCCAGATGCTCCTAGACACATATCAGCTCTTTCCCCTCTCATGTCATATAACCAGGACAAAATAAGTAAAATAATTTTAATTAAGTGGACAGGCTAATTAGACTAATTTATTTAATTTCACCAGAACTTCACTCTTCTGTTTCCAATTCACTCTGGCAGCATGGGACACATTCCTCTCGTTCTTCCCTCCCATCCCTAGGAGCAGTGATAAACAACTTACATATTGTTACTGTTTTCAGGCTTCACAGTTGAAAATGACATTGGAAAATAAGGCATCAACTTCAATTTACCACTTTCACAATCAGAACAGAGTAACTGTGCTGTGAGCCAAGAGCAATGAAGCAGAGGAGCAGATACTCTATCAGTAACTCCAGCTCTGTGCCATACTAGCTGAAGATAAATAGTTGAGATGTTCCCTTGTACAAAATCAAAGGGGAATTTCAGACTACTCAGACAGCAAAGTAACTCCCCAGCCTGGTAGGTGGTATAGTAGGTAGCTGAACAGTGCTGCAGTGCTCAGAGAATAAAGGTGCGCTGGCAGCACCAAGCTGCTAATCACACCCTCTCTCACCATGCAGTCCTAATGACCATGTTAGGAACCAAATTAGCCACATTTATAAGACACACTGGAATAGCTGCTTTGTTTGCATTGCCCCATGAGATAATTGTTCTACTTCATCTGAACTTACTTGCCAACTCTGCTTTTACTAACCTGTGGAACTACATATAGGAATCTTTTGGGTGCACCAGAGGCATACCATAGGCCTAGCACAGACAAACTGCAGGTCTCCATGCACAGGAAGGGTTATGTTTGTCTGTTGCTGCCTGCCCATCCCTCTTCTTTTGTCTCTGATTAAAGATACAGACCACACACTGACCAGCACGTGGACAGCCAGTAAAGTAAGTGCAAGGAGGTTCACAAGCACACACACATACAGCCCGGGCTTTGTTCCAGTCATGTTTACTCACAAGGCAAACAGTTACGCATTGTTTCTGCTTGATAAATTGTAGCTGTCCTGCTAGGAAAGATCTAGTTCCAGCTGGTTAGAGCTGTTTTTATTTCTTACATCCTCACCCTCCTTCTGCAGTAACTTACAAATCCAGCTTACCCAGGCACAAAAAGAACAAGTACAAGCTGCCCCTTGGCTTTCTTCCCACTTTGAATTGACACTGACTTAACCAAAGTCTCCACGTCGAGTGCCAGCAGACGTAAAATCCTTAGGAAGTATGGCTTCAAAAGTGAACTCACACTTGACAGCTGTCTCAAAGATGTTAAGGTCCTGCACTTTTGTTGTTACTATTAGGTGCAAGAGAAGAGTGAGATCCTTCCATATTCCCCACTCAAGTGCTCTCAGCTTGTCAGACACTAGAGAGCAATGGTCATTTGATAGTGTGGTAGCATAGTCGTAGAACCTCTGAGCTATTTCCTACATAATTACTCATTTGCCTTGCATAGCACCTAGTGTAGCAGGTACTGAGCATCCCCTGTACAACACCAAATGGCATGTACAACTCTTTAACACCAGGCTCGGAAAATGAGTGTGAGGGTGCTCTACTGTCAGAACAAAGCCACTCCTTTTCTGTTAGACAGACATAGGAAAGTAATGCCAAAATGCCACTGTTTGATTTATACCATCTTTCCATCAAGTAAATTCATTCTCTTTTGTAAGACAACTTACTGCTTTAGAAGGCTGTTAAGGCTCTACCACAGCAGAAGAAACAAGTCTGAAGGAGCTGGTAGTGTTCACATAGAAGAAATGGTGGAATCAGACAGGTGTTAAGTGAGATAAGTTCTGTTACAGATCTGCAAAGAGAACACAATGGTCCCGGGAATACAGAACCAAACTGAAATTCCTGGGTCACTGGCACCTACAGTCTTGTTCCTAAAGACACCATATCGGATAAGGTCCATCCAAACATGCTTGTTAGCTTCACTGTTCTGTCAGGAAGGCAGTTTCAGAATCTCTTCCCCATCTTGGGCACCTTTCTGATGAACCATAATGTGTTCTCCTTTGAGTGCTGTGAATTCAACCATCAGTTCCATTAGCATTTGTAGAGAATAGGACTACAGCAAGGACAGAGTTAATCCAGGTAAACCATAACCATGACCCAAAGTGCACTAAGCCACACATCTCTTCCCATTGCCCACCATGGGGCTTGGGCCCTGTAATTGCAGTGAAAACAAAATTATTGGAAAAAAAAAACTGAGGACACAGAACATCCCTAGAGACAATAATTTCTTTTGGTGGGGGAGGGTTGGGGAAGAGTGGGGAGTGGAGGGGTGAAGCCCTAAGAGCACAGGATTGGCAACTGGTTCCATCCCTCTGGGTCACCAAAGGCAGATCCAGAGTTCTGAGGATTTAGGCAGCCCATGCCACTACCAGAAAATCAACTCCAAATACCATTTTCCAAATAATCTTACTTGCATTTTATAGCATTTTTAAACTGTTTTCCTTTCCATTTTTTTCCCCTTCTGTAATTAAAAGCTAATGTTCTTTAACTCCAAATAGCCACAAATATAAGGGAGTCCTTTGGACCATAATTTAGAGCTGAACTTGTACCATCCTCCAGAATCTTGACCTTGGACTCCTGACCAAACAGTAAGTGTTTAAAGCAGTGCATTTTAAGGACTATAAAACACATCATAAAATCCAAATGTAACAAGCAGAACATGATCCCAGAGTTCTTCCATTATTAAGCCCACCATCAGTATACAAACCAAACCTGAGACAACAGTGTTAACACTTCCACTGCATTGTAATTAACATGCTTTTTAAAACTTTTTTTTTGCATGACAAGCTTGTGTGCAAGACCTCAGAGCTGGGTGACCCAGACATCAATCTCCACTTTAGAAGAGGAAATTGTGCTTGTGGGCACTAGTGAGGGAAGGCATGCTCAGCTTCAGTTGCATGAAGCTAGATTATACTAGCTGATCTCATGACTGCCCCTCTTGCTTGTACTTCCAGTTACTAAGAATTCTGTAGATAAATTTCACTCTATCTGAAAGGAGGAAGTTATTGCCAGATGCAGAGTCAGGAAAGACAGCAACCTATTGCACAGAGCAATAATGTTAGAAGAACACTCCTTTTCCCATGCAGATTGGAAAACAAGGCAATTAACTGCTTGAGTGCCATGCCATGCCACTACATACTGGGCTCACCGCTTCAGGAAACTAGAAGGGAAAAACCTTTTCTCTTAGAACTAAACAGAAGAAAAGTAAACTATTGAAGCTCTTTGATAGCCTGCACTGACAGAAATTAGAAGCCTTAAAATTAGAGGCTCTGAGGCACTGATTCTCCACCTTGCATTGCAGCAGGTGTCAAGCCTTTCCCTCTGCTCTTGACTCTTGGACTTAGTGATTAGCCAAGAGCACAATGCCTAGAGAGCTGATAGCTGCTGAGACAGCTCAGCTGTCAAAGGTCAAGGCAGCTAGAGAATGCCCTGTACACTAAAGAGTTGATCACACAGTTGTTTCAAGAGTCACTTGGGCTGTCTTTGGAGGGCACTTGAAAAACTGAGCTGATTTGAAAAAATATAGATAACCAGCACGTTCTCTTATCACAAGTGCCATACTCAGTCATTCTTTTCGCTCAAGTAGGAGGTTTGAGGGCAAGTGATATCCCATATCAGGCTGCCAAACCCTGAATTACATTTGTCAAAATTATACTTCTGACAGATGGCTATGTTTCTGTGGCAATAAAACGCACAATGCCCATCCCTGTGCTCAGAGTCTCCTGCTCAGAAAGTAGCTTCAGATGGATGCATGTCCTCACTCTTCCTGGGAAATGTCTTAAGCTAGACAAGGTTTCCAGACTCTTTGGTTGGAGCATTAATGCTGGGCAGGCTCTTTGACCTCTGCAAGCTGCTGTACAGAGACAGAGGCTCAGCATTGCAACAGACCTCTGCACATGCCTCATGCATCCAAGCAGACATTAGTCATCCATGCACAACATGCCTGGCAGCACTTGTGTGTCAGAAGCACGGAGGATTTAACAAGCCAAAGAGTAGACCTGTTTTCTCAGAGGAAATATCTCCTCCCTAACATAGAAAGAAACCACCACAATCTCAGGATAAAGTAGACCACTGTAACACCTGTCTGCCCCAAGGCTCATCATGTCTCCCAGAAAAATAGCCATCCCCAAGGGTGGCACAGATATAGCCTACAACAGATTAGAAGCGGCAATGTCACAAAGCCACAAAGGTTGACAGAACCTCCCCGGTTCAGCTGCTAAGCAGACGACAGGAAAAAAATTAAAAAAAGTCAAGCCTTCCCATGGTTATTCCCCCCATTCGCCACTTCTTCTCTGGAGGGTTGAAAAAAGCAGATTCAAGGGCAAATGCCTCATGAAGACCAAAGACAAGCCTCCCTGTACTGAAAATTAGAGACTGGTTTGCTCTATTCCAACATACTGTAATCCAGGCTCTTCGCTAGCAGGCAGCCACAGAGCTGGCTCTTCTGTAATAACTGAAGACGGTGGAGTGGATCAGGATCTTGTTTACAAAGAGCTGCCACCTGAGTTTGGAGATGGTAACCTCAAACCTCAGAAGCTGGGAGGACTTGAAATACCACCAAGGGTGCAACATGCTGTGTGTATCCCAGCCCAGGCCTTTGCCACATCTGCTTCCAACTGCTGCTTTACGGGGGAGACTTGAAGTTCATAGTTTGCAATGTCATTTTATTTTTTTAATGCTTTAGGATGAAAGTCCTCCGGGACTTGCTCACTTTAAGGAACCAAGGCCCATCGACTCAGTCTTTACACAATCAATGACTTGCCACTTAGCCAGCCTCTACAGGGGCCTTATATCTGCATATCCTGATAAGATAAGGGCACATCAAAGGTGTGACTAACTGTGATTGTCTCTCTGAGCTCCTTTAGCTTTGTCCCTGTTACTTTGAAGTACAAGTCTTTTGCATAAGTCCTTCAGGGCAATCTCTATGTTCTGTTAAGCACAGTCTATCTGTCCCTCTGCCAGAGATAAGTTACAGCACAAGCCCTGTGTGGAGCTTGGAGGAAGCATCCTGCCATAATCATTTATTGGCATTAACAGGCACCCTGCTCTAAGGTACTAGTCATCTGAGGGTTCAGGTGTCACCTCACTATTCTCTTGGCGCAGTGCTTCACCAAGTAGAGTGACTGTCTAATTCAGGGCTGTAATAAAGCCTGAGCCAACATCCCTGTTAGTACACATGTTCTCTAGGGTTCATTATTTTCTGCTGAAGGCCACCTTCCTCATTCCTTCAGGAAAACAGGACACTATACACAAACATCTTGTAGCTGATTCAGTACCAAGCCCAGCAGTTTCCAAGCACTTAGTGCAGGTTAAAAGTCTCTCCAGTTCAGGAATAAACTGATGCCTTCTGCAGGCTCTGCTTGAAAAGGTAGCAGGCTCTAGCTACCAGCAGTAATGAAACCAGTAGCTCTTGTTGGATTTGCCTGTAAAATGAATTTAGGATTATGGCACCGATGTGCTTTTGCTTACACAATTTAAGGTTTCAATGGAGCAATTTTCAGTTTACAAATATAACCAAAATAAATACATGCCAGCAAAGTTACTGGTTCAGAACCAGCTGCAGTAAGCATCAGTGCTATGATGCACAAGCTGAAGGCATTGCACAAGCTTACATCTATATCCAACAAGAAGTTTCACAAATAGCTTACAGGAGAAGAGAATTATGTCACAAATAGACTTTATTTCCCATGAGCAGAGTCCCCACAAACAAAATAAAGAGCAAGAAAGGAGCTCACTTTCCTTTGTCCCTTTCTATTGTTCATGGGTCAGATCCAGGCACCTGGCTGATCCTTGCTCTGGAAGAAACCAGGCCTTTAAAAAGGCACTCACACAATCATGCTGGGAGTTACAGGAATAGCTGCTGCTTGTTGGCATGCCAGGTGACTAGGAACAGAAACCCTAACACATCCCATTTAGACACTGAAAACAAATAGTGCCACTTCCATAACCTGTTCCTCACAAGTTCCCTCTCTGGTGCAAAGCACGTTTTTAGTAATGTAAACCAGAACTGAATTGGATCACATCTCTGAGCCCTCCTAGTGCAGTACACCTATAAGTGGTATTCCCAGCTTCTCTCTTTCTTTGAAGCTCTTGGCTTTTAACACAAAATCTCTTTCTTCCATCCCTTCACACCAGCTTGTTGGACACCCACGTGCTATTTTATGCAGGTAACAAAGTCTTTGGCAGGGTGCTTGGGCTAAAGCGCAGATAGCTGTAGCCAAAAAGTGAAGTGATTCCTCTCCAGAGCTGGGGTTCCATCCCATAGGTAGCTTCTGCTCTTGAGCCACAGAGTCAATCAGAGCAGCAGAGTCACTTTGTAAGTGTAACCCAATCTTCCATTCTAAGGTCTTGATATGATTTCTGGACAGGACATGGCTAAACAAAGTGATCTGCACAACCTCAGAGCTGGTGGCAGTCTGCTGGTCGCATTGGTTAGCGTGTTGTGTGTCATCCAGTGGTGTGTAAACTTTATTATTCTAAAATAATAAATTATTTTCAATAAATTATTACTATATTTATTCTATTCTAGAATAAAGTATAGCATTCTATTCTTAAATAAATTATTATTCAAAAATAATACATTATTATTCTAAAAGAAAAGTCATCCAGTTAAGAACAAGGGTGAAGGATGTTTCATGCTTTCTGACCTCAGAAAGGCCTGACCTCAGAGTCCTTCTGTACACCTGGACCCAAGAGGTGCCATCAGCTTGTCCCAGTGAGTCCTGTTTATATCAATACATTTCTCTTATAAAATCAAATACCTGGAAAAAATGGCTTGGCAATGAAATGATAAAATCTACTGGAAGCTACAGAGAAGTTTATTTTCATCATTCGAAACCACCTTGGTCTTCTGCCGTCCAGAGAATTCAGTGTTTGAGAGGACTATTTTTTTGGGTGACAGAGGGGGAGTTGCAGTTCTCTTCACACACTGAGCACATTGACACTAGAGGTGCAAAAAGGAAGAACCATTCTAGACAGGGAAGAAGGGAAAGTAAGAGAAGGGGAGGGAAGAGGAGGAGAAGGAAGGGGAAGGAAGAGGAGGGGAAGGAAGAGGAAGGGAGGGAGCTAGAGAAAGGAGAAAAAACCCCAGCTTTCTGGTGATTCAGAGACCCAAAGCTCATGTTCTGCAGCATACACACTGATGCACCTTTCCCTGAAGAAAAGGCTGCGACTTACTGCAGCTCATGTATGAACAGCAGGACCGAGGAGCCAACCTCCTGACACAAGCCCAAAGAACACGCATTTTAATTTCACATGCACAGCTTGCATGTGTCATTTCAGGTGGTTTCTAGAAGTAGTTGGGGCAGGGTCATAATCATTTGATGGCATATGCTCTTCCTGTGTTTGGAAGCAGGTTGTCCAGTGATGCTATTGGCATCATTTCCAGTCTGGCCGTGAGGATATTTTTTATACAGGGGATGCTGTTACAGCAACAGCCTTGAAAGCCTCAGATGACGCTTCACTAGCAGATTGAGTAACTGGATCACAAAGAGCCATTGTGGACATTCCCATTCAGAAATGAAGTACCGTTCATTTATCTTCCCTTACTTTAGTGCACATGTAAGAAGAGAGAAAGCAGGGGACTTTTAAGGGTTAGGAAACTGAAACTGAGAGCAATACGGAAAAGCTTGAAGTGGCAAGTGTCTAGAGATAAGAGCAATCCTTGTATAATAGGCTTGCATGTCAGATGAGACAAGTCACAGGTATCACAAATGCATTGGCATGGTTACAGTCACACACCTCCTTCCTTCTGTGAATTAAGATCATTGCAGAAGTTTAGCCTTTCAGTCATAGCCTTTCTCCAAGCATTTATGGGTACTTCCCATGGATGAATGACAGGATGAGAATCAATAAGCACTCTTCTTCCTAACTCAGACATCTCGAGAAAGAATTGAAACTTCATGGACTTCCGTTGCAACTGTCCATTTACTTTGTTAAATGCCAGATCTCTTGTGCAAAAGCAAGTCAGCTTCTTAAGGCCAATTTAGATAATCCCATGATCCCTGGAACAAACAGGCAGGATTTCCAAGTACAAAGATGGCCCTGTAGTCAGCATCTTTGAAGTTGAAAGGCTCTTTGTTTCAGGCAGTCAGCATAATTTCCAAGTTTTCTCAGAAGCTGATGTAAAGAGAACCTCACTTCAACCTCCTTTGTGTAGAGGGTAAACCTTTTTCACCTAAGGTGCAGAGCTCCTCCAACACAGGGTAGTTGTTCTAAGACACATACACAAACACATCATCTACCCAACCTGCCTTTGTTGCTGTTATCCGAAGTCCATTATCCATTTTGCTGAGGAGTCTTTTCTTTTTCTACCTATAGTGAAAGGCAGTTTGCAGTTCATCCCTGATGATCTCAAACTGACAGGCCAGCAAAACATTACATAAAGCACAAAAGAGTTTGCTTTCCTTGGCAGCACACCCAATTCTGTCATATTAATGATCTGCCAACAGCTATTGTCCTTGACAAGTGACTCTGCACTGGCAGAACAGGATCCACTGCAAAAAGAAACCAAAAACCAACCAACCAAACAAGCAAACAAAAAAAAAAAACCAAACTCAGCCCACTTTCCATGTGCTACATTGCATCTTCTGAGCCTTTAGGAAGGTTGAAATATCTGCAAACACTGGAAAGTTCACACCTGGAAAACAGAACTATTTTACAAAGCTCAGGCTCAGCACTTTGGCATTGGAAGAAAGAAACACTGTCCAGGAGAAATCTGCCACAAGATGGCACAAAATGGAACCAAAGAGACCTAGGCAGAGTCCACAGAGCCAAGCAAGACACAGTAAGTTAGTGGAAGAGGCTGTATTGCATTTGTGCTCCTTGAGGTTTTGGTTTGCTTCTTTCCACAACAAAATCAGTTGTGAAGAGAAAGCAGCATATGCACATCTGGGGTCTTGTTTCCTCCTTTATAGCAGTTAAGCATGCAGCCAAGTGACTGCACACATCCTTACTTTTGTTTATCTTTGCTTGGAAGAGAGCACAGAGATAATGAGGAAAGCGTATTTACACAATGCAGGGATGGGCAGTTAAGTTAGCAGACCAGCCAGTCCACAACTGGCTTCTTTAGAGGGGAGGAGGTAAAAAGCACTTTGAGGAGCACTAAAACACCATTGAAATATCCTGTCCAGGCTCCACTTTGTTAATGTCCTCTCATTTGTGATAAAATAAAGTGCAGAAGTGTTCCCAAACCATAGAATCATAGAATAGTACGGTTTGGAAAGGACCTTAAGATCATCTAGTGTTTTTTAAAAAAAGAAAATGAAAGAACATTATATGAGTCACAGAAAACCTCCCCCATGCATAAACAAAGCTGAAGGGGTATTTCTGAAAGCCAGTGAGACCAGAAAGTACACTTAACCATTGGATAGCTATTAGCTTCTGTAGAGGGGCTGCATCTCAACAAGGCCTTAAGGAAGTCTGTAAGTACTAATTTTCACCAAGGAATAGAATTACCTGAGTGACCCCAGGCTGTGCTTCAGAGATGTCATTCCACAGTACCATCTGCTTGTCAACATGCTATGAGCTGCTGTCTCCACAGGAGACATTTGTGTTCCCTACTAAGAAGTTAGAATGTGTTAAGCTGGAGGTCATGATGTGTGTTACAGGCAGATAAACCTAGAAGTTAAAAGGATACCCAGCCATGCTATGCCAGCTGCTTCTGAGAGGAGAGATCTTGGAGCATGAAAAATCAAGTTGTTCAAATCTCCATTTGCTTTCAGTGAGACAAATGTCATATAGTCATAGAATGGTTTGAGTTGGAAAGGGGCATTTACCATTTCTTTGGACAATCTGAGTCAGTGCCTTACCACCCTCAGTAAAGAACTTCCTTATACCTAACCTGAACTTCCCCTGTTTCAGTTTGAGCTCACCACCCATTGTCCTATCACTGCAGTTCCCAGTGAAGAGTCTCTCTGTGGCATCTCTGTAGGTCCCCTTCAGATATTGGAAGGCTGCTCTGAGATTTCCATGCAGCCCCAGTTTTCTCACCCTGTCTCATGTGGGAGGTGTCCTGGCACTTTGTGTCATCTACAGAAGAATCTCCCCTCCATCACTTTCATTCTGCTTTTAAGACAGCAGAGAAAAGGACATGTTCCTTTCAAAGCACATGTAAATCATGGCATAGAATATCATGTCTGTCTTACTTTATTGCTGATGTTCTTCTCCCTTTCTTGCTTTGGTATATTAGGCAAACCTTCCTTTCTCTGATGAAATAGCAAAAAAATCCTCTGCATATTTAAAGCAAGAAGATGAAAGACAACCTCCATAAAATGGTTTTGCTCTGCTTTTGTGGGAGAATGTGTGTGCCAAAAGATGGATATTTGTAAACAAGATCTGACTTTTATGGAAACTCATTGTACTTGCAGACTTTAAACAGAAATCCAGTCACTGCACTCTGACTTTTGTAGCTTCTACTAGTCTTTCCACTGCCCTTTTTTCATACTCACACAAGACTGTGCTTCCTCTCCCACCCCAGGAGATTGACTATGAGTTTTGAATAGAGTCACTTCTTTTCATAAACTGAGAAAGTGTTCCCAATTTTGCAGCTGAGAGTCACCTATGCATGTGCAGAGCTTTAAAGACATAATCCTTAAAGGTGTCTTGGGATTTGACGACTCAATTAAACCAAGAGAAATGAAGTGTCCCAATGCTCTGAGGTGCTTTGGAAAAATCTTCTGCTAAATACAGCAGCTTAATGAAGATCTAAAGTTACACAAAGACATTTTCATTTTTATTTCTGAACAACAACAACAAAAAAAAAGATAAAAAAATCAAGGGTTATTTCCACACAGTGGAAACTTGACAGGCATTAAAGAATGTCACTAATTC